CAAGAGAAGAGAGAGGGAGAGAGACAGAAAGAGCACAAGAGAAAGAGAGAGAGAAGAGACAGAAAGAGCAAGAAAGAGCAAGAAGAGAGAGACAGAAAGAGCAAAAGAAAGAGAGAAGAGAGGGAGAGAGACAGAAAGAGCAAGAAAGAGAGAGAGAAAGAGAGACAGAAAGAGCAAAAGAAAGAGAGAGAAGGGAGAGAGACAGAAAGAGCAAGACAAAGAGAAGATGGAGAGAGACAGACAAGAGCAAAAGAAAGAGAGAGAGGGAGAGAGACAGAAAGAGCAAGAGAAAGATTAGAGAGGGAGAGAGGACAGAAGAGCAAGAACGAGAAAGGAGAGAGAGACAGAAAGAGCAAGAGAAAGAGAGAGAGGAGAGAGACAGAAAGAGCAAGAGAAAGAGAGAGACAGAAAGACAAGAGAAGAGAGGGAAGAGACAGAAAAGAGCAGAGAAAGAGAGAGAGACAGAAAAGAACAAGAGAAGGAGAGAGAGACAGAAAGAGCAAGAGAAAGAGAGAGAGGAGAGAGACAGAAAAAGAGAGAGAGAGGACGAGAGAACAGAGAAGAGCAGAGAGAAGAGAGGAGGGAGAGAGAGACAGAAAGAGCAAAGAAAGAGGAAGGGGAGACAGAAAGAGCAAGAGAAAGAGAGAGAGCAGAGAGAAACAGAAAGAGCAAAAAGAAAGAGAGAGAGGGAGAGAGCAGAAAGAGCAAGAGAAAGAGAGAGAGGGAGAGAGACAGAAAGAGCAAAGAAAGAGAGAGAGGGAGAGAGACAGAAAGAGCAGAAAAGAGAGAGAGAGACAGAAAGAAGCAAGAGAGAAAAGAGGAGAGAGACAGAAAGAGCAAGAGAAAGAGAGAGAGAGACAGAAAGAGCAAAGAAAGAGAGAGAGGGAGAAGAGAGAAGAAGACAAGAGAAAGAGAGAGAGGAGAGAGACAGAAAGAGCAAGGAAAAGAGAGAGACAGAAAGAACAAGAGAAAGAGAGGGAGAGTGACAGAAAGAGCAAGAGAAGAGAGAGAGACAGACAAGAAAGAGTAAGAGAGAGAGGAGAGAGACAGAAAGAGCAAAGAGTAAGAGAGAGAGGAGAGAGAACAGAAAGAGCAGAGAAAGAGAGAGAGAGGGAGAGAGACAGAAAGAGCAAAAGAAAGAGAGAAGGAGAGAGACAGAAAGCAAAGAAAGAGAGAGAGGGAGAGAGACACAAAAGAGCAAGAGAAGAGAGAGAGACAGAAAGAGCAAGAGAAAGAGAGGAGAGAGACAAAAGCAAGAAAAGAGAGAGAGAAGAAAGAGCAAGAGAAAGAGAGAGAGGGAGAGAGACAAAAGAGCAAGAGAAAAGAGAGAGGGAGAGACAGAAAGAGCAAGAAAAAGAGAGAGGGAGAGAGACAGAAGAGCAGAGAAAAGAAGAGACAGAAAGAACAAGAGAGAGAGGAGAGAGACAGAAAGAGCAAGAGAAAGAGAGGAGAGAGACAGAAAGAGCAAGAGAAAGAGAGAGAGGGAGAGAGACAGAAAGAGCAAGAGAAACAGAGAGAGGGAGAGAGACAGAAAGAGCAAGAGAAGAGAGAGAGGGGAGAGACAGAAAGAGCAAAAGAGAGAGAGAGGAGAGAGACAGAAAGAGCAAGAGAAAGAGAGAGGGAGAGAGACAGAAAGAGACAAAGAAAGAGAGAGAGGGAGAGAGACAGAAAGAGCAAGAAAGAGAGAGAGGGAGAGAGACAGAAAGAGCAAGAGAAAGAGAGAGAGACAGAAGAACAGAGAAGAGAAAAGAGAGAGGGAGAGAGACAGAAAGAGCAAGAGAAAGAGAGAGAGGAGAAGAACAGAGAGCAAGAAAGAGAGAGAGGGAGAGAGAGAGAAAGAGCAAGAGAAAGAGAGAGAGGAGAGAGACAGAAAGAGCAAAAGAAAGAGAGAGAGGGAGAGAGACAGAAAGAGCAAGAGAAAGAGAGAGAGACAGAAAGAGCAAGAGAAAGAGAGGGAGAGAGACAGAAAGAGCAAGAGAAGAGAGAGAGACAGAAAGAGCAGAGAAGAAGAGAGGGAGAGAGACAGAAAGAGAAGAGAAAGAGAGAGAGAGAGAGAGAAGAGAGAGAGAGAAAGGAGAGAGAGGGAGAGAGACAGAAAGAGCAAGAGAAAGAGAGAGAGGAGAGAGACAGAAAGAGAAAGGGAGAGAGAGACAGAAAGAGAGAGAGACAGAAAGAGCAAGAGAAAAAGAGAGGGAGAGAGACAGAAAGAGCAAGAGAAAGAGAGAGAGAGATAGAAAGAGCAAGAGAAAGAGAGAGATAGAAAGAGCAAGAGAAGAGAGAGATAGAAAGAGCAAGAGAAAGAGAGAGAGGGAGAGAGAAAGAAAGAGCAAGAGAAAGAGAGAGAGAGAGGGAGAGAGACAGAAAGGCAAGAGTAAGAGAGAGACAGAAAGAGCAAGAGAGAGGGAGAGAGACAGAAAGAGCAAGATAAAGAGAGGGAGAGAGACAGAAAGAGCAAGAGAAAGATAGAAAGAGAGAGAGAAAAAAAGAGAGAGAGGGAGAGAGACAGAAAGAGCAAGAGAAGAGAGAGAGGGAGAGAGACAGAAAGAGAAAGGGTGAGAGAGACATAAAAAGAAAGAGACAGAAAGAGCAAGAGAAAAAGAGAGGGAGAGAGACAGAAAGAGCAAGAGAAAGAGAGAGAGATAGAAAGAGCAAGAGAAAGAGAGAGAGAGATAGAAAGAGCAAGAGAAAGAGAGAGAGAGATAGAAAGAGCAAGAGAAAGAGAGAGAGGGAGAGAGACAGAAAGAGAAAGGGAGAGAGAGACAGAAAGAGAAAGAGAGACAGAAAGAGCAAGAGAAAAAGAGAGGGAGAGAGACAGAAAGAGCAAAGAGAAAGAGAGAGAGATAGAAAGAGCAAGAGAAAGAGAGAGAGAGATAGAAAGAGCAAGAGAGAGAGGGAGAGAGAAAGAAAGAGCAAGAGAAAGAGAGAGAGAGAGAGGGAGAGAGACAGAAAGAGCAAGAGTAAGAGAGAGACAGAAAGAGCTAGAGAGAGGGAGAGACAGAAAGAACAAGAGAAAGGGAGAGAGACAGAAAAAGCAAGAGAGAGACAGAAAGAGTAAGAGAAAGAGAGGGAGAGAGACAGAAAGAGAAAGAGAGAGGGAGAGAGACAGAAAGAGCAAGAGAAAGAGATGGAGGGAGAGAGACAGAAAGAGCAAGAGAAAGAGAGGGAGAGAGACAGAAAGAGCAAGAGAAAGAGAGAGGAGAGAGGGAGAGAGACAGAAAGAGCAAAAGAAAGAGAGAGAGAGACAGAAAGAGCAAGAGAAAGAGAGAGAGGAGAGAGACAGAAAGAGCAAGAGAAAGAGAGAGAGGGAGAGAGAAGAAAGAGCAAGAGAGAGAGAGGAGAGAGACAGAAAGAGCAAGAGAAAGAGAGAGAGGGAGAGAGACAGAAAGAGCAAGAGAAAGAGAGGGAGGGAGAGAGACAGAAAGAGCAAGAGAAAGATAGGGAGAGAGACAGAAAGAGCAAGAGGAAGAGGGAGAGAGACAGACAGAGCAAGAGAAAGAGAGAGAGGGAGAGACAGAAAGAGCAAGAGAAAGAGAGAGGGAGAGAGACAGAAAGAGCAAGAAAAAGAGAGAGAGAGACAGAAAGAGCAAGAGAAAGAGAGAGACAGAAAGAGAAAGAGAGAGGGAGAGACAGAGAGAAAGAGCAAGAGAAAGAGAGAGGAGAGAGACAGAAAGAGCAAGAGAAAGAAGAGAGAGGGAGAGAGACAGAAAGAGCAAGAGAAAGAGAGGGAGAGAGACAGAAAGAGAGAGAGGGAGAGACAGAAAGAGCAAGAGAAAGATAGAGAGGGAGAGAGACAGAAAGAGCAAGAGAAAGAGAGAGACAGACAGATGAAGAGACATATATGAAAAGTTTAAGCGATAGCCGTGTGCATTTTTGTTATAATATATGGAATGTTATACTTGGACTTTAATGAGAAATTAAACATCTCTGATAAACTTTGTAATAGGAGAGAAGACAGTGTGCATATACACACACACACAATGTGTGTGTGTGTGTGTGTGTGCATTCATATAAACACAGATGTATAAGGGTGAGAAAAAGATAAATATACCCCATATATTTTTTATTTATTATAAATACGATATTCACATTTGAGGAAGTCTCATCGCCCTGCCATCGCTCTCCTCCTGTCCGACCTCCTTCGTCGGCCCTCGATTCTTGCACACTTCTTCTTCCAGACAAGACTGCGGGGGGAGGGGAAGGTTAATTGTTCTCTCCTTTCTCCTCTATTCCCCTCTTCATCTTTCCTCTCTATCCATCTGTTCAACATTTTATTCATCTGCTTCTGTGTGTATCTGTCTACCTATTTATGAACCGTATCCATGTTGACAATTGTAGGAAAGGTATGAATGAGACTGGATATCTTCACGATACAAGAGATGTATTTGACCGCTTTCGATGAAGACGTAATCGAAACCGGTCAAATACATCTCTTGTATTGTGAAGATATCCAGTCTCATTCATAACTTTTCTACTACCTATTTACCTATCCCCATCTTCTCTATCTCATATTCTCCTCCTTCCTCATTTTTTTCTCTTTGTCTATACCTTCTTACTCTCTTCTTCTTTCCATTAATCTCTTTAAACACGCATCCCTGAATTTAAGGTACTGTCACACTAGCACTTTTTCCGTCATTTTTTTACAATCTTATTTAAGATAAATACAAACATTTTCGAATATAGCTCTTGATCTGACTTTGCTTGGCTGAAAAAAAGTTGTCGGAAAGGTTTTCAGACGGACACGATCGTTATCGTCTGACTGGAGAATCGACAATTCGCTCAAAAGTGGACAAAATTTCAGAAAATTGTCTAAAAATTGACGGAAAAAGTGCTAGTGTATAAATTTATTTATGCACTATTTATTTAGTTCCTTCATTTATTTAGCACCTTTATTCAGTTCCTCTGTCCACTTACAATACACAAAGCTACATTCGCCAAGCATTTCTACATGATGAGAACAGGTAGTTATAGACATACTGGTAGATACACTCCCTATGCGTCTATACAGTAATAAATTGATATATCCACATGAATCTATTAATATGATATCCACATGAATCTATTAATATATCCACATGAATCTATTAATATGGTTAATACATGAATCTATTAATATGATATCCACATGAATCTATTAATAATAATATCCACATGAATCTATTAATATATCCACATGAATCTATTAATATGATTAACACATGAATCTATTAATATGATTAACACATGAATCTATTAATATATCCACATGAATCTATTAGTATATCCACATGAATCTATTAATAGGATATCCACGTGAATATATCAATATGATTTGATTATTATATCATTCTCAGTTATAAATTCAGTGAGATGGTTACACAATCTCAACAATCTTGTTAAATGTAATCAGAACTGATACAGGGCGGAAGTTTCCAACGTGACATCTACCTCCAGACTTAAACAAGGGGAAAACTTTACCTATCTCCAGTTTATCTGGGATAACACCCGAATTAAAGGAGGATATTATTATATGTAGCTTAGTTAAAGTCACTGGAATATCATCATAGCCAGGACTCGAGTTTTTTAAGCTATTGACAATGTGAATCATTTCCGTGTCAGTGATAGGATGTAGAGACATCCGATTGTCATTTCTGGGGCCGAGAAAGTCTCTAAAGTCTCCATCGTGTGATGAGACGGATTGAGCCAGATTTCTCCCAATGTCAGAGAAAGAGTTGTTGAACTCATCTGCTATTTTATCAGGATTGGTAATTTCATTTCCTTTTCTGTGCAGTTCGGTTTGCTATCATTATTTCTATTAAGTATATTGCTCAGAATTTTCCATGTTTTCTTTGGGTCATTTTTGTTTTCGTCTTTTTGAATAATAATTGCGTTTGGCATCTCTAATAATGCAGTTCAGGCGATTTCTAGCAGTACGAAATTGATCGCCATACGTTATTGGCCATTTAGCGAACTTTTTCTGAAGATTGTTTTTATCTCTAATTTTTTTTTTTTTTTTCATTTGTAATATAAGGTTTGTTGAATGATTTTAATTTCATTGTTTTTGCTTTCAAGGGGAAAAATCTTTCAAAAGATGGCATGAAAAAAGGAGGTAAAGTTAAGTAAATAAATAAATAAATAAAGGTAAAGTAAAGTAAATAAGCAACATTTGGATTACTTGCCGCTTTTACCAAATCCCAGCAGACATTCATGAGGTGATTTTTAAAGCCCAAGATATGACATTCTGCATAGTCTCTGTAATATATAGTTTTTCTGTTTGAAACTTTATAGGGTGAATCAATCTCAAAAGTAGCGTAGATAGGGAAATGATCTGAAATGTTACAGTAAAAAAATCCATGATTAACTGTATTTGAAATGTTACAGTAAAAAATTCCACTATTAACTGTATTTGAAATATTATTAGTCCATATATGGTCTATGAGAGTAGCAGACATTTCCATGACTCTTGTTGGATTTCTGATTGTGGTGAAAAACAATTTAGAATTCAGAATAGATATAAACTCTTGAACTTTGCTATCTGACTGCCATTTCAGAAGATCCAGATTAAAATCCCCAGTAAGAATACTAAACTTATTCTCTTGTGTGATTACATCAATGATTGCCTGAATTTTATCAGTAAATAGATTAATATTACTTTTAGGGCGTCTATATAACTACCCTATCAGTATGGAAGAGGTTTCGGTTTTAATTTCAGCAAAGACCGATTTCAGGTATTCATCTTGAACTGATAAATCTGGTCTGAAATGGGAGGAGTAGCTCCTTCTGACATAGAGAGCAACGCCACCACTGTGCCGGGATCTGTTGTTGAAATATGCATCATAATTTTCTATTTTGTACAACTGATTGATATCATCGGTTAATTTAGTTTCAGAAAATCCAATTGTCAAAAATACTGTTATTTGAACACAGGCACTGGTCAATAAATTCATTTAAATGTTCGGGAATGCTACAAATGTTAAGGCTTATGACTGCCAGCTGAGTACTCGTTTCATGTGACTTCTTACACTGGAAGGCACCAGGGAACATGTACGAGCACTCTAGTTGACAGACCAAGGTGGTTTTGCATGAAGCCATCAGGGTCATGGTCACTCTGGTGCCCTTCATTAGCGGGTGTAAAACTTGAAAAGATTCTACTTTATAGGAATCTTAAGAGTGCGTGCAGAAATGTTATCTGAACTATTGAGCAAATATAAAAAAATCATCATTATCTAAATCAGCAAAAGGAAAAGTTGATATAAAGAGTCCATTATGAATGGTTGTTAACTACGTATTTACAAAAATACACAAGTGGCATACACATTACTGCTTGCTTCGCAGTCGTTGGCTCAGGGGCTGAAAAGGAGTCTTCTTGGCGAGGAGACGTGTCGTTGCCTGAAGCTCCCTCGGCGTCTTCGGGGCTGATGCGAAAGGGCCAGGGCGTTGTGGGCAGGAGTCGAGGGGCGACGTAGCATTGGCGAAGGAGGATCGGACAAGGACGCACGCGAGGAGCGAGACTGAAGGGGGAGCGCGGAGTCAGGCTGGCTACGCGGGTGCGAGCGCTCAGTCACGACTAGTTTTCTGTAGTTGAAATAGGCGTGTTTTCCCTCGCTCCTCGCCTGCTTCAGCTGCTCCATCTGGTCTTTCCGTGCCTTGATAGTGCCGGCACAGAAGTCTTCATGAACAAAAACAAAAACAGGTGCATTCTTAAAGTTTGCTTTTTTCTTAAAAACTGCATCACGGTCCCCGAAACTCGCGAACTTGGCCACGATGTCCCTGGGCTTGTCATGAGATGGCTTCCCCACTCGACGAGCTCGCTCTATCACCGGGGCGAGGTTCAGGTGCTGCTGCAGGAGGTGGCCGAGTTTCTGCTGACACTGCTGCCAGGTTTCGTTTTGCTCCTCGGGGATGCCAGAGAAACGCAGGTTGTTTCGGCGTCCCTGGTCGTCTTGGTAGTCTGCGCGCTCCTCGGATCTCGCCAAGGCTCTTCGTAGGTCTCGGGTTTCCTTCGCGAGGGCTTCCGTTCGGGTCCGCAGCGCGTCGCTCGCTCGCCTCGCGTCCGCCTCGCGCGCTTCGAGCTCCGGAATGTTGGCGTGTGTGAACTCGAGACCCGCATGAATCTATCAATATATCCACATGAATCTATTAATAGGATATCCACATGAATCTACTAATATGTCCACATGAATCTACTATGTCTACATGAATCTATTAATAGGATATCCACATGAATCTATTAATATATACCCACACGATAATCTATTAATATATCCACATTGAATCTATTAATAGGATATCCATGAATCTATTAATAGGATATCCACATGAATCTATTAATAGATATCCACATGAATCTATTAATAGGATATCCACATGAAATCTATTAATAGGATATCCACATGAATCTATTAATAGGTATATCCACATGAATCTATTAATAGGATATCCACATGAATCTATTAATAGGATATCCACATGAATCTATTAATAGGATATCCACATGAATCTATTAATAGGATATCCACATGAATCTATTAATTAGGATATCCACATGAATCTATTAATAGGATATCCACATGAATCTATTAATAGGATATCCACATGAATCTATTAATATGATACCCACACGAATCTGTTAATATATCCACATGAATCTATTATGATACCCACACGAATCTATTAATAGGATATCCACGTGAATCTATTAATAGGATATCCACATGAATCTATTAATGAGGTATCCACATGAATCTATTAATAGGTATCCACATGAATCTATTAATAGGATATCCACATGAATCTATTAATAGGATATCCACATGAATCTATTAATAGGATATCCACATGAATCTATTAATAGGATATCCACATGAATCTATTAATAGAATATCCACGTGAATCTATTAATAGGATATCCACATGAATCTATTAATAGGATATCCACGTGAATCTATTAATAGGATATCCATGTGAATCTATTAATAGGATATCCACGTGAATCTATTAATAGGATATCCACGTGAATCTAATAGGATATCCACGTGAATCTATTAATAGGATATCCACGTGAATCTATTAATAGGATATCCACGTGAATCTATCAATAGGATATCCACATGAATCTATTAATAGGATATCCACATGAATCTATTAATAGGATATCCACATGAATCTATTAATAGGATATCCACATGAATCTATTAATAGGATATCCACATGAATCTATTAATAGGATATCCACATGAATCTATTAATAGGATATCCACATGAATCTATTAATAGGATATCCACATGAATCTATTAATAGGATATCCACATGAATCTATTAATAGGATATCCACATGAATCTATTAATAGGATATCCACATGAATCTATTAATAGGATATCCACGTGAATCTATTAATAGGATATCCACGTGAATCTATTAATATGATATCCACACGAATCTATTAATAGGATATCCATATGAATCTATTAATAGGATATCCACATGAATCTATTAATAGGATATCCACGTGAATCTATTAATAGGATATCCACGTGAATCTATTAATATGATATCCACATGAATCTATTAATAGGATATCCACATGAATCTATTAATATATCCACATGAATTTTGCCTCAATTTGTCGCAGCACTTGCGCTATCCTCACCTGGGCCTGAAGCCTTCGTCAGGAAGCTTCAACAGAATCGAACACTGGCTTTGCATCGGCCACACACACACACACACACACACAACACACACACACACACACACACACACACACACACACCACACACACACACACACACACACAGAAACAGACACACACAGAAGGGAGGGAGGGAGAAGAGAGATGTATATCTAGAGAGAGACAGATAGATAGATATAGATATAAACAATAGAGCGTTGTCCTCATCTCACATCATTCTTTCTGTCTTTCCCTCCCTTATTCCATTTTTTCTTTTCACTGCCTTTCTCTCTCTCCCCTTTCTTCCTCCCTCTCTCTCTCCTCTTTCTTTCCTTTTTTTCTTTCCCCTCTTTTC